GCAAGTTCAGCTCCCCCGCTGCTTTGCCTTTTGGGGCTGTTACTACTATTATTATTATTACGATTATTATTACTATTATTGCTACAAGCACTCACTCGCTGGCAACCTGCCCCCAAGGAAACCCAGCACCCCCCGGGGGAGGGGGGGGGCTACCTTTCCTCACCCCTGCCGCCCCCCCCCTCCCGCAGGCACCGGGGCGAGCAGAACCCCCCCCCTCCCCGCCCGGTTTTGGGGGAGCAGCGCAGGGGACAGAGGATCGGGTGGCTGCAGCGCGGACGGGACATGCCCGGTGGGTCCCGGGGGGCTGGTGGAGATGCGCCCCAGGGAGCCGCGGGGCCGGGCGGGCGCGGTGGGAGTGCGACGGCGGGGGGCAGCGCGCAAGCAGCGCGGGAGTAGCGCGCAGGCGCGGGTAGGGAGCACCCAGCTCTTTATGGCCAGGTGAGAGAGTCCTAGAGCAGGTAAGGGAAGGATTTACCCATAGGCGTCCCGGGCGGGTGGCTTGACCTCGCAGTCCATGACCAGCAGGGGCCTGGGGATCCGGAGCCCGCAGACAGGATGTCTATCCTTGCCAAAATGGGGGACTGGCAGGTAAGGCGACCCTCCTGCCCTGGGGGTGGTTATTGTTATTTTGGGACGGGAGGCAGTGCTGGAGCGAGAAAGGTGACGGGCTAGCAGGGAGCGGGGACAAATCTGACACCGGAGTTGGCGATTATGAGGCTGCTTGTGCTGGGAGCTGCCCCAGGCCACCGGCGGGACCGGCCGCAACAGGTAGAGAGCGGCGGGCCGGTATCGAGACCGTGGCCGGGAGGGACTCGGGTTGCTCCACCGTCGCCGCTGGGGCCGGGCCGGGCCGGGTCTGAGCTGTCCGGCAGCGTGGGCCGGGGAAGGGCGGCGTGTGCCCGCCCGTCCATCCGGCCGGGGCCGGCGGCCGCCGCCGTCCAGCCGCGGGGCCTGGGGCTGCCCCCGGAGCGCGGTAAACTTCATCGCGGGGCAGAGCCCGGGGCCCGCGCTGCGGGGGTTGAAACATCGCCGTGAGCTTCCACCCGAGCCCTTCCCGCGGATGAAGGACGCTGCCGGGTCCCACCCGGGTGCAGACGCGGCGGGTGCGCCCCTGTAAAGCAGTCCCGCGGGGTGAGCTGGAGGGCAAAGCGGCTCCCAGTGGGAAAAACGCGGGCCCGGCCCGGCCCGGCCCTGCCGTGCGGGTCCGGCGGGCGAGTAGACACGCGTGGAGCTGCGGCTGCTCCCAAACCGGGAGACAGTGGGAAATCCCTGCAGCGGCTTGGTGTGTGTCCCCTCGGGCCTGACCGCCGCTGTTCGCCGGCTAATACAGGGGAAGAAGGACAGTCCTGTTCAAACACCCGCGCTCGTATTATCGAAAAAGACTGTTTTGTTTTTTTTCCCGGACATTCCAGCTGAAGATGAGACCCTAGATGCTTTTTCTGCTCCCAACAGTTCAGATCTCTCGGCTAAGTCTTTCTTCGCTTTTTCTTATTTAATTTTTGTTTAGCATAGCAGGAAGTCTGCAGGAAAAAAAAAAAATAAAAAAAGGAGGGAGAGAATGCAGTAACGAAAGATTTATTTTTAATTTATCATTTTTTACACTTAGAATTGGCCTCTTTTTATCAGGTTGGTGCGGAAAAGTGATCAAAAGAGCGTTTTATTTCCCTCCCCCCTTTTTTTTTTTTTTTCCTTTTACTGAAGCCAACTCGCACTTACAGTCTATCTGCCTTGAAAATTATTCCGACTTTTCCTTACACCACCGGCTGTTCGTGCTCCAGCTCCCCTGTGCTGCGGGCCCCTCTGACCCACTGCACATCCCTGTGCCTGGCGGAGGGTCCCCTCCGGGCAGACACGGTGAGAGGACAGCAGGAACCGTGTCCCAGTGCGGTTCTCCTGGGGGAAGCCGCCCTTTTCCCTATACCCCTGCACCTCGGCGCTGGCGGAAAGAAGGGGCAAGGGCCAGGCCTTTGGCCCGCGAGAATCCAGAGCGGCCGCGGGTGGGAGGTTCCTCCGGCTCCGACAGGACGGCGCTAAGGGGCGATGGGCCCCTTCGTTGTCTGCCGCCCCTCCCCTTATTCTCATCTTCCCCCCCCGGGGGCATTAACTAGGCTTAATCTGCCAGTTCCATTTGAAGCTCAATGGAAGTAAAAACAACAATTTACTCTCCTGCCACTTGCAGACAAAAGCTCTAGTGAAAAAGAGCATCGGGGGAGCAGGAGGGGGCAAGGGGGAAAAGAATAAAAGGAAAAAAACCAATCAGTTTTGGGGATGTAGATGAGTGCGTTTGGAGGAGCAGGCCCGGAGCCTGCAGGCTTTGCCGACCTTCCCGGCGTTGGGACGCGTGTCCCGGCCCCCCAGGCCCCGCCGTGGCTCCCCACGGAGCGGAGGGGCTGTTGGCTGCTGGAAGCAGTGCGTTATTCCCCAGGGTCGGGCCGGAGGGGCCGGCAGGGTCCCGCGGGCCCCCAGGCTGCCAGGTTATGCGGTTGGCAGAGTGAAGCTTAGAGGAGCAGCAGGGCAGCCAGGCCCCTTGCCTCCCCTTTCCGTGGGGATGTCCAACTCCCCGGGGAGCCAGGCTCAGGGAGAGGGGGGTGCCTCGGTCCCCGTTAGAAGCTGCGATGGTTCGGCGAAAGGTGAAAAGGAAGCCTTTCGGTGGATGGATACAGGCTGGGCACCCGAGGACGTAAAGGAGAAGGGTGGAAGAGCAACCCCCCCGGAAGAGCGGGCTGAGTGCCCGTTTAGCGGTACATTGTTAAGCAAACGAAGTGCTCCACCTAAGAAAGTACCGAAGTTTTTTTAATGGTCATTGTTTTGTCCCTTTGCTCATGTGCTTGCAATAGACTTTCTGGCTCCTGCTGCATTCACATTACCGCTCGCCCACTTCTATTTGGGAGGTTATGTTGGGTTTGTTCGGTTACCTTTTTTTCTTGAAGCCCAATAGCCAACAGGTCCAAGAGGAACCAAATACTTTGCAAATGAAAGCAGCTTTTCAAATAGCCACCTAAAAGATCACATCCAGAAGGCAACAGGAGCCTTCACAGACAATAACCTTGTTAGGGCGAGACCCGAGTCTCGTTTCTCCTCGCTTTGGTTTCTTTAAAACCCCTGGGGAAAAGAAAAGGGGGGTGGGGGGGAAGTAAGTCAGGGGATGGCTCATGGCTAGCCCCAAACTCTGCAGATGAAGGGACGGTCTCCTCTTTGGCGGCTTTCCTCCCATCCTCCCTGGGAGCCAGGGGAGCGGGGGCAGCCGAGGCCGGCGAGCCCTGCTCGCCCGCAGGCAGGGATATAGACAGGGCCCGCTGCCCCCTGCGCATGGGCTCGGCGGTTTGGAGAAAGCATTTTATTATTATTTCTCTTTTTTATTATTATTTTTCCTTCTATTTTTTCTTTTTATTGCTGTTTTGGGGTGGGTTTTTTGTTTTGTTTTTGTTCCCCACCCTCCCCCCCCTTTTGCTCGTGGGTCCTTGCTACCTGTGTCCATCGCTGCAGGTTGTTGTGCTGGCGAGCAATTGGACTGTTGTTGATATGCTAATGAGGCGATTAGGTTGTGGGTAAAGAGCTGGAAAAGGGAAAAGTTTCCACCATTAGAGGGAGATCTCCGAGCGCGGACGGGAGCGCTGCGCAGCCTGCGCCAGCCGCGCTCCCCACGCCGCCACCGCAGGGAAAGGCAGAACCAAACCCTCTCCCTCTCTCTCTCACGCCAATCCATGAAAATGCTTTGGAAACTGACGGATAATATCAAGTATGAGGAATGTGAGGTAAGCGCTTCACTCCGGCCGGGGTACAGCCCCGGTACCGCAGCTGCGAGCGGGAGCTTGCACCATGCCTCCGTCTCCCAATTTCGTTTAGGAAAACTTCTGCTCCTTCGCCAGGCTTTCTTGCGGTCCTGCAGCTGGAAAGAGGCTGGGGTCCTTCCCCAGGAACTTCGGGGCTTGTTGAAAGGCGGCTGTCTCGGAAATGTATGAGGAAAGGCAAGCAGGATCCAGCATCAGTCTGGGCTATAGGTAGATCCTCTGTAGATAAGGCTCTAGGATGCTACACTCATCCAGATGGATGGATGGATAGATAGGTGGCTGGCTAGCTGAATGAATGGACTGATGAATGAATGAATGAATGAAAGGGCAAAGAGGCAAAGGGAAGAGAATTATTCCTACACGCCAGGTACCCGAGACATCCCAATAAATCTCCTCAGGATCGACGCTTCAGTCTTTTGGATGTAGCGGCATGCCGATTATACCGAGCTGCACAGATTTTTCAGGGGTCAGCTGCTGCACTTGAAATCCCAAGATTGGGAACGGTTTTCCCCAACCCTCCAATTTTCAGGGCCGCACTCCCACGAGTTTGAGAAATAATATTTTTCCAAGTGGAAAATTAAAAGGGGAGAAAATTAAATCCACCTGATTTGGTTTTGGAGCCGTTCAGCACCGATTGTGTGCATGCATCTCTCAGTGTGCTTGTGTGTGCATCCATATATTTAGAAAGAGGGGTGAGTCTTTTAATCTGACAAAAAGGAGAAGAGGAGGAAAAAGAGCGATGTCCAGGACCCATGCCTAGTCTCAAACCAACGAATATCATTGTCACCCGTTTCTCAAAAGTTGCCTGTGCAGCGCGTTTACACCGCCTAATAAAGGACTCCACTTTGCAGATGAACGCAGTTATGTGGTCGTGACCCACGCCGAAAGGTGCCGCCAGCCCCGGCGGAGCCCTGCCCGATGGGCACGCCTGGGGCAAATTGGGGAGCCGTGATCCCATCCGAACCCGTCGCTGCTTCGGGCGATGGAGCTTAGGGAAGGGATGGAGGTCCGGCCAGGCTCGCCAGCAAATAAATGATGTGGTTTAGCCCCGGATAGAGGAGTTTGGGATAAAGCTGTCTCCCGGTGAGGAAGCTGAGCTCTTAGATGCACTCGCTGGCGGATGTTTGATTTCTAGGAATGAAGTGTCAGAGGTCTGGTTTTATTTACTTATTTTAAACAGGGACGAAATACATATATAGGTACGTATATGTATTGTTCAGCTGGATTTCGGAAGGAAAGCGTGTCTCTCTCCCCCTAAGTCCCCCAGGCTCAGTGTTAAATGTGCACACGTGCGAGCTTGTCGATATCATCGCCAATGGCTTTTGTTGCCTTGCGCTAACGGGACTTTGCACCGAGGTGCTCCCGAGCGCGGCGGGAGCAGCGGTTGCTCCGCCGGAGCCCGCGGGCTGTTGTGCGGGAGGGCGCGGTACCGCTCGGTGTTCTGCTCGGAGCGGCGGCGAGGTGACTTGCAGAGGGGATGGAAAAGAGGGTGGCTGTGCCGTGGCGGGGGTAGGACCTGCCTTTAAAAGGGAAACAAGGGGGGGAAAAAAGAGGAAGGAAAGAGGAGTGAAGCCCGGCCAGCCGCGCTCAGCCTCGGGGGCCGGAGCAGGCGGGCGGAGCGCGGGGCCGGGCGGCGGCGGCGCGGCGGCTGCGGTGGGGCAGCAGCGGCGGCGGCGAGGAGGAGCGGTGCCTGTTTGAGGGAGTTGTTTGGGAGTTGCACAGCCAGTCCGACGGGTTGCGCCGGAGCCCCGGCTTGTCTGGGCCGGGAGAAGCGCTCGCTTTGCCTCTTTTCCCGGCTCCCTCTCCCGCTGGCGTCCCTCCCTCCCTCCTTCCCTTCCCTCACCGCCTGCTGCCTTTTCCCCCCGTCTTTTCCCGGATCCTCCGAGAGGGGGGCCGCGGGGAGCCCGGCGGATGCTCCTTGGGCTCCCCAGCCCCCCCGCCCTGGGCGCCCGCCGACCTCGGCGCTGGGCTCGAATCGGAGGAAGAAGAGGAGGAGGAGGAGGGCTGACACCCAGAAGGGGAGACACCCAAAAAAGCTTTCCCAGCCGGTTTCCGGGACGCGGGGCACGGAGGCGAGCCGGCTCGGCGGCGCGGGGCGGCCGCCGCGGGGGCAGCGGCGCGGGGAGCCCCTCGGCGGGGCGCCGTCAAGGCATGGACGGGGCGGCGGCGGCGGCGGGGGGCGGCCCCGTGGAGCCCACTCCGCGCAAAGGCGGTGGCGCGGCCGAAAGCGGCAAGAGCCAAGCGGGGAGCCAGCAGCCGCTCTTCTCCCTGGGCTTTGAGGCCGGCTACGCGCAGCAGCCGCAGCCCGAGGTGCGCTTGCGAAGGACAGCGGGGCTCGGGGCACGGGGAGGAGGCGACGGCGGTGGGGGGAGAGGAATTGAGGGGAGGGGAAGAGAAGCGAAGGGGAGGAAGGGGTGATCCCGCGCCCCCTCCCTGGCTCCTTCTGCTCGCACCCCACCCCCCTGCACCCCCCTCCTGGCTCCCACCCTCTCTCTCCGGATCTCTTTCTCTTTCACTTTTGCATGCCCTGCAACCTTTTAAAATGTTGCCCCTTCCCTGTGATTCGTCAGACGCAGCAGCATGTGCCCCCTCTCTCTCTCCCGCTCCCTCTCTCTCCCTTTTTGTCTCTCTCTCTCTCTCCCTCTCCCCCATCTCTGATTAGATACACTGATTCTTCATTCAATGGACGTCATTTAGAACAGGCTCTGCCTTGAGTTGCCTTCTCGCTTCACGCTCGATTTCCAGCCATTCTTCCCTTATTAAGTGTTCGTGTAATATTAATAGTCATGAATATCTGCTATTAGGAGTCTCCAGGAAGGCAGCAGATCTGTTATTAGGAGCTCAAGTGAAGCGGCAGCCTAAGTCAAAGGAGAAAAAGAGACAGAGGGAAAAAAAAAAAAAAAAGGAAAAAAAAAAAAAGGATTAAGAAACAAACACACACACGCTAAAAACAAACAAACAAACAAACAAAAGGCAAAAAAAAAGCGCAAAACAAAAAAAAAAAAAAGGAAAAAAGCAAAACAACCAACTTTGACTTCTCACACCACGCCAGGATAGAGAGCTCGCCTTGGCAACACCCGATGAAGGGCAGCAGAGATCGGTGCAAGTTCTGATGGATTATAGTGGCGCGCCCGCGGTGCAGGAGCAGCCCCGGCGTCCTGGTCCTGCTGCCCGCGCCTAGCGCCGGGCTCCGGCCGCGCTCCCTCCGCGCCCGCGCCGCGCCCGCACCCGCGGGGCTCCGCCGGGGGCTGCGCGCTCCGCCGGTCCCTTTCCTCTGCCTCTTCTGGGGTTTTGGTTTTGGCTTTTTTTCTACCTTGACTTGTAACCCCCGACTCTTCGCAGATGTTAGTGCACAGTTTTTCGGCTATGGTGAGTTGCTTCGCGTTTCTCTCGGAGGGGGTTCGGTGTGTGCTGGGTCTTGCTATTGTTGTCGGCGGTGGCGGTCGGGGTTTCGCACGCAGCTTTCCGGAGAGGGATTTTTTTCCTTCATTCATTTTTCTTCCCTTCATTTCCTTCATTTTTATAAATTCGTTGGTTTAGTCTCCCCTTTTTTTCTTACTCTTTTTTCTCCTTATTTAATTTTTTCTTTTCTTATTTTTTTTTTTTTTTTTTTTTGTCTGCTTCGAGTGAACGGCAAAAAGCTTTCCTTGGACCCTACCGTTTCCATTTCCTCACCTTGCCACCTGCAAACGGGATATTTTCAGCTTTCTCGTTTCCCTTTTTCGGGATCATGGCTTTTTCCCCTTTACCCCCTTCCGAGGAGGAGGAGGCCATGCCTTTTTCCCCGGACATACCTGGGGACTGTTCTGCCCTGCTGCGGGAGCCAGCAGAGCCGTGCCGAAGCGCTCGGGTGCATTTCCGTGTCGCTCGCCCGTCGCGGCCCGGGGCGGTGGGGCTGGGGCGCAGCTCCCCCCCGGCTGCCCGGCGCATTCCTCCGCTGCCCCAGCCGCCGCCGCCGCAGTTCTCTCTGCTCCCAAATGGCCCTCTGGCGAGCGGGAAGCTCGGCTGGGCACTGTGGCTGCTCTTCCCGTCGGTGGGGGCCCCGGGCCGTACCTTCTCCCTGAAACATGTGTAAAACTCGCGGGGGGAACGACCGGTTTGTTTAGAGCCTATTTTGGCGTCTTCTAATAACAAAATGGCAGTGGGCTTGGATTTTCCAGGGTTTCCCTGGGATGCGTTACCGGTAATCCCAGCGATGGTATTTTATTTGTCTCGGTTCTGCCCAGAGCCAGTGGGAGGGTTTCGGGTCGTGGGAGAATTATTATTTTAATAATGCCGGCTTATGAATTATTCTTTTTTATTTGCGGGAAATGCCTGCTCCTAAAAAGCCGGAGCCCGATCGGGAGTCCACGCTGTATCGCCGCAATATTATGAGCAGTTCTGTTATAATTATTGCTATTACTGCTGCTATCAATGTTGCCGGTATTATTATTATTATTTAAAAAGCGGGACTGCTTCTTAACTGCTTGCAAAGGGAAATCAGAGGCACAGAAGCCCCCAGATCTGCTGTTCCCCGCCTCAGAGCGGAGGAATTGCCCATCTTTGCCCGATAGGTAAAATTTGCAAGGCGATTTGGGGAAGAAACAGTTTGATATGATCTTTGTTTTTCTTTTCTCCCCCTCCCCCTCTTCCTCCACCCCCCCCCCCCCTTCGTCACCCCCCCTTCCCCCCAGGAGCGCCACGACAGTACCAGCAACGGGACAGCCCGGCTACCCCAGTTGGGGACCGTGGGTCAGTCTCCATACACCAGCGCCCCTCCGCTCTCCCACACCCCCAACGCCGACTTCCAGCCCCCCTACTTCCCTCCGCCTTACCAGCCCATCTACCCCCAGTCTCAGGACCCCTACTCCCACGTGAACGACCCCTACAGCCTCAACCCGCTCCATGCCCAGCCGCAGCCCCAGCACCCGGGATGGCCGGGACAGAGGCAGAGCCAGGAGACGGGGCTGCTTCACACGCACCGGGGATTGCCCCACCAGCTCTCGGGGCTGGACCCACGCAGGGACTACCGGCGGCACGACGACCTGCTGCATGCCCCGCACGGGCTGGGCTCCGGACTGGCCGACCTGCCCCTCCACTCCATCCCCCACGCCATCGAGGATGTGCCGGTAAGCAAAGATACAGCCCCAGTGCCCGCTGCGCCTCTCCCCTGTCCCCCCAGCCCGCGGGAACACAACTTTGGGGGGAGGGAGGGGGACCCCCCCAAGAAGAGAAGAGGGAGGGAAGAAGAGACACCCCCACACACCCCCAGGGAAAGGCGAAGACCCCACCTAGAACAATAGGTTCTCCCAGCCTGTCCCTCTGCGATGCCTCCCTGCTAAAGCGCCCGCTAAAATATAAATAAATCAAATTACTGTCATCGTTAACAATATCTTTCCTTCTCAATGACAATAAGCTGTTACGATTGGAAGAATGTATAATATCACCACAGGGCCGTGCATTTGGGGATTTCTCACTGCCTTGGGAAAAACACGGATCTGAAACACGAGATCTCATTAAATGTCCTCCCAGGCAAACGGAAAGGGGGAAGGAAAGAAAGCAAGCAAAAAAAACCCCAACAACAACAACAAAAAACACAACAAAAAAAAAAAAAAAAACGTGGGTGAAAGTGGACTAAGAAGGGAAAATCGGTGTCCTGTGATTACAGAATTGGCATACGGGATAATGCCATCCTAAGTTGTGACAGGGAGCGGGCAGTCCTCTTCTCTAAAGGAATTAATTGACAAATCAGGGACGAGGTATACTAAAATGCTGCCACCTTCTTTTAGCAACGGTGAGATGGGATGACCTCATAAATCATTAGCTATAGGTTATCAAATTCTAGCCAGACCTGCTACACCCTATATTAAATTAAGCGTTGGGAGTCCATTGGAGGATGCATTATTTGGGGGACCTAATTCTGTTATCGATAAATACAGATTTAAAAAATGATTTCTAATTAAGCATGACATTACCACACAGGCTATTTACAAAGCAAGCCAGGACTATTGTTCGGTTAGGCAAATGGCCTCATGCAATATGATGGGTCCCGATCAAAGTTCATCTTTCTGGGTTTCTCCCTGAAAATGGAATTAGAATATGGCAATAAATATATCAAATCCCACAGAGCTCTTGCTGAGGGGCTGAAGCTGCTTGACTTGCAGGAGGAAAGAGGGAGGGAGGGAGGGAAGTGTGGTATCTGGATGTGATTTTTGCTGAAATGCCATCCCAAATTACAGGATCAAATATTACAATAACATATTTGCTGACAGTTTAATGAGTACAGTTTCGTGTTGCAAGGATAATGTTCAGATGAACTTACCTATTTTGGGGGGTCATTTTGAAATCTTTTGTAAATTATACCTGGGCAAAATAGTGAATTTATTACAGCCCTCATCTGGCTAAATTAGCCACAGAAAATTGCTGGTTATGTTTAGCAGTTTTGCAATAAATGCATACGTTTCCCAAAGTGGAGGATTTAGTCAGCAATCTGAATCCGTTAAAAGACGGTCGATTTGCTAAACCTGATATAAAATAACATGGAGGCAATAGTAAGAATAAACTAATTTGTTGACTGCAAACCCGTGATTGCTGTAAGGAGGAACATGACTTAAAATGTTCTCTTGGATTCTCCCTCTCCTCCGTGGTGCTCCGTGGCAGTGGGCTGACTTGGGAAGCCTCCTCTCTGCAGTTCTATGAATTAATGGCATTGCTATACTTCGGGAAAACCAAATGCCATCTGGTTTAAATCCTTAAAGCAGCCCAGACATATTTTTTTTTTTCTCTGTAAAACTGAATCAGCAGGCTGCAGTGAAGGAAGGCATAAAAATAAGAGTATGTATCTTTAAATAGTATTTTGTCTAGTTATTAAAAAAAAAAGGAAAAAACCCTTTACTGAAATCTGGGTCGGGAAAGGGTCGTTTCTGAATTTTTCCATTGCTGCAACAGTTAACCTTTAATAAAAACGACCACTAAATATTTAAGAAAATCAAGTAGACGTTGAAAATTATTTAATCATAAATATCTCTGTGGGATTTTAAACTTAACAGTCCTCCCTGTATGGAATATGTGTAGAAATAACACAAATAAAAGTATTATGCCACACTACATTTACTTTATGGGTTTAGGGTGCATGCATAAAGGGATCATATTTCCCCATATAGTTAAAACACAAGAACTGCAGCAGTAGTCATTTCTGAACATTTCTCAATTTAATTATACTTAAATCCAGAAGCACTTTAGGCAAGTTACAAATGAGAGCATTGAGTATAATAAAACCTGTAATAAAGCAACTTAGTACCATCCACCCGGAATCATTGAGATCAGGCACAATTAACAGGAGCATAAATCCAAGACAGAATGGAAAATGTTAGAATCAGTATTATTGTTGGACAAAGACTAGAGAAGGAAGTAATAGTTTTTTAAATGGTAATGCCTGGGTTTTGTAACGATTGTGAAATCTTCTATCTCAGCAGCACTGGTGTTAATTTGTAAACACAGCCAGACATTATATTGCCTGTCATTTTTTGGAATTAGAAAACATGATTTCATTTGACTTTCTAATCACGTCGTGGCTCTGCCGCGGGAACCCCAGCTGTAGCTGCCACCGCGGAACCTGTGAGGGGACAATAGTGGGGGAGCCCGGGGGTGCGTGGGACCCCCCTGGCAACCCACCGCTCACAGCTCCTTTGTGCTTTCCCTCCCGTGGGTGCAGTGGTGGCAGGAAGGGCCGGGGCTGCTTACTAGGAAAGAGAAGAGAAGGAGGGAAGAGAAAAGAGGGGAGAGAAGGGAGAGGAGGGACAGAAGCTGTGGAGGCCACTCGGGTGTTGGCCTCGGCTGCTCAAGCCCCGGGGGCATGTGGGCTATTTATCATTTATTTCTATTTCTTGGTGAACTGGGGAAGAGCAGGGAGGGATGCAGGATTCCTCCTGATAAAGGAAATCCCTCCTAAATCCCATCTGCCCCCTGCCACAAGACCTGTTTTTTCCCTCCCTGCACCATCCCCTGGGTTGGGGGGGACACAACTTCTCCTGCACCCCATACCACCCCAGCCCCCCTCCGCCCTTTGTTGTGGTTGTACATTTACATCCCTGCCTGTTCCTTTTGTTACAGCATGTAGAAGACCCCGGTATTAACATCCCAGATCAAACTGTAATTAAGAAAGGTAAGATGTTTCCTTGCACATACCAAACATGTCGTCACAAGCTGGGGACTGCTGGCAGGGAAGACTTACCCGGCCTCCTGCCACCCCCCGGCCCCGGGCTCTTTCCTCTGGCATGTACTGTTGGCCAAGGGATTGGAGGCAGAGAAAGAAAACGGGCAACGCGGCTTAAAATCCATCCTCTTACGCGGCCACGTTTGTCGGGTCTTTTAATTACTGTTGTCGTTAACGAGGAAAAGAGATAGCAGATGATCTAGAAAATCAGAGCCGGTATTTTAGGGCATTAGGGAGCAATTCGGTTCCTTGGTTTGCCCTACTCATCTGGTTGAGCGGCCGGAGGGGTTTAATCGTTGTTGGTAAACCGGGCTGTGAATAAGAAAACAAAACGTTGCTCCTCCTTCTTCGGGTTTTCTTATTTAAATCACGGCTGTGATGAGGTGGGCTGTTGGAGAGCAAGGGGCTAGTTTCTGGAAACTGGTGTTTGTCTGTCTGGCGGGCCGTTTGCTTTTCGTTGCCTTTGTGTGCTTGCCTCACTTGGAATGGAATTGCTTGGAAGCTGGTCCCCGAATCGCGCAAAGTATTTCTGGCGTGTTTCCACTCGGTTCTCTTTTCCAGTCTTTATTTGGGTGACCGAGGACTGGGGAAGGTGGCACAGGGTGTTTTGCAAAGGAGGGTCTCGGTGGAAAACGAGTAGATCCTGTTTAGGGAGCTGCTGGTGGACTGAAATTCGTGGGGCTGGTGGCGTAGGCACTGCCTACTTCGAGGGGTGCCACGGCCTTGCACCCGCCTGGGATTCGGGTGCCCCGGCTGCCACCGGAGTGTGGTGGCGAGCAGAGCCGTTCTCTTCCCTAACCCTAACCGCTGCGCAGACTGCGAGCCCAAAGTTTAATTCCCCCCCCCACCCCCCCTCCCGCTGCAAAGCCTTTGTCACGTCAAATTAGATGTGCACGGGATAAATCTTAAGAGATGCTCTTTCCAAGTCGACATGATAATTGGCTCTTTTATTAGTAATCTCAAGAGTTCGTTTAACTCCTGTTGTATCTATTAGCCTTCCCAGAGCTATTAATGTCACAAGCGATCTATCCAAAACGGAGAGACCCCCCCACTTGGCTGGCCTGCGCCCGCGAAAGAGTCGGGCGGCGTGGGGGGTTTGTGTGTGTGTGAAACGGGAAGGCCGCCTGACGCCCGGGGCTGGCAGGCACCGCAAACCCGAATGGCAGCACGGCTGGGCACAGCCCGCCCTGGGGAGGGACCAGGCTTTTATATCTGGGGGAGAACGCGAGCCGGGGCAGGAGCGTGCCGGATCCCCGCTGCGTTACGTGTTTTCTCACGTCAAAAGTTGTGCGCCGGGGAAGCGGCGGGGCGGGCGGGACGGCCCCCGGGGGAGCCTGTTCGGTGCCCATCGCCCGGCACGGGTCTCCGAGGGCAAGGCAGTCGGCGGCTCCCCGCGGCGGGACGGCCCTGCCAGTGACGTCTAACGCGGCCGCTACTGACGTGCTTTAACAACCAGCACTCGCTCCCCCCTCGACGGCGTGCCCCGCTCCGGGATGGGGAGAAACGGGTAGCGAGGGACCGCCGCTTTCCTTCCCGATTTCTGTGCTGAGGGATGAGGGCTGCCCCGCTCCCCTCCCCCGGCGAGCCGAGGGTGCCGCCGCCGCAGCCCTGCCCTCGCTCCCCCCATGCGCGCAGGCGGTGCGGGGCCGGGGCTGGCAGCACAGACTGGCCCCGGTGCCCGGCGGCCGTGATCCGTCCCTTCCCTTTTCCCCATCACCTGACCCTCACCTCCCTCCTCCTCCCTCCCTGCAGGCCCCGTGTCCCTCTCCAAGTCTAACAACAACGCCGTCTCCTCCATCCCCATCAACAAGGACACGCTCTTCGGCGGGGTGGTGAACCCCAACGAGGTCTTCTGCTCGGTGCCGGGCCGCCTCTCGCTGCTCAGCTCCACCTCCAAGTACAAGGTCACGGTGGCGGAAGTACAGAGACGCCTCTCGCCGCCCGAGTGCCTCAACGCCTCCCTGCTGGGCGGAGTGCTACGGAGGTGAGGGGCGGGGGAACGGCGGGAGGCGGGCTGACGGTAGATAACGCCCGCTGCCGCCGGGCCGTGCAGTGCCGTGCCGAGCGGGAGGAAGGAGGGAGTTGATTGATGATGATGATGATGATGAGTGTCCACACGGGGCTGCAGCCGTTGATTGGGGGGGGGGGTTGCAGCTCCCACCGCAAGGGGGCGGGGTGTGCGCGGCCTCTAGGGCAGCGCTGCCAGCTGGGGGGGGAGAGAAGAGGGAGGCTGTAACCATAGCAACGCACAGCCTTCTGTGCCCCCCCACCCCGTGTGTGTCCCAGGCATGCTGTCCCTTCACATTGATGAACCCCAGCATCACCCCTTTTCCCTTGAAAGAGGGGGAGGTTGCCAGTGCGTCCCCTCCCTGCTGTCCTGGGCCTGTGGCCTCACCCAGGCAATTATGAAGTTCCCGAGCAGGGAGTAGCATCCAGGATTAACTAAACCAGCTCTCACCTCCACAGCCTGGATTGGTTTGGCTCGGCCGAAAAGCCACAGATGGGACATGTGAATGCAGTGATGCTCCGTGGCAGTAGTGGGGGCTGCTGGCGTATAAATCAGACACCTCCTGTAAGGCCTGGGCTGATGCCTGTGGCTGTGGGGAGAAGCTACCCCCGGTCTATGTTACCTCAAAGCTCTGATAGCTGCCTTGGGTCAGGGTTCCCCCATGGCATGGGGGCTGATCTAGACCTCAGTGAGGGCCCCTGTTGCCTAGATATGGAGCCACCCAAAGCCCCATCCCTATGTTCGAGACTGTTTTCAGCAGCAGTCACTCTTCAGCTCCCCATGACTATTCTCCACCTTCTCACTTCTCTCCATGGGAAAGTGATGTCGGGGCAATCTGTGGCCAGGACTCAAAGTGGGAGTGGGTGCTCCCCTTCAGCCCCATTTCTTAATGTCTTTCTGTGTGGAACAGGGCAAAGTCTAAAAACGGAGGGAGATCTCTGCGGGAGAAACTGGACAAAATAGGATTAAACCTGCCAGCCGGGAGACGTAAAGCTGCTAACGTTACCTTGCTCACGTCACTTGTGGAGGGTAAGTGACTGTGGGGGCTCCTTTGGAAAGTATGCCTGTTGCTTTTGCTTAATGGGAGAAGACTGGGTGTTGGGTTGGGTTTTGTTGTTTTTTGGTTTTTGTTGTGTTTTCCCCCCAGAGTCGGTGCCACTTGTTGGCAATTGGAAGGGTGCTATTTTCTGTGCCCCAGACAAAAAATGTTCATTGTGTGCCTTTCTTTTTGTTTTAACCTGAAGTGGGCTTGTGTGAGTCCTACAAACTCCGTGTTGCACTCTACCATTTCTTTGCTTTTAAGTCTCTGAGCTAGATGTTTTCAGGGCCCTATTTTGCTCCCTTGTTCAAGTGAGTCATCCCTCCCCAGAGTAAGCAGAAGTCACTGTGAGCAGCATGGGAAGGATCCCTCCTCCTGGGGGTTGTGGCCTCAACCTTGTAAGAGACCCCTGAGTCTTGAGTTGAAAGTTACATGTTGAGTTGAAAGTTACATGTTGAGTTGAAAGTTACATGTAGCAGAGCCTTTAATGCTTCGCTGCACTCCTTCTGCCACAGGTGGACAACCAAGCAATTTTAAATGTCAGAAAATGCAGCTACTTTAAGTTTATTCTCCCTCCCTGCCTGCAGCCACATAAAAGTAAATCATTTGAGTTTTCTGACATCTGCATTTGAGAAATGCGTGACCATTACTTCCTGAATTAATTTGGGAATCCTTGACCTTAGCCATGAATTAATGGTGTCCTGGAAGCCTCAGAGTTACACCACCACCAGCCCCCATTCCCTTTTGGTTCTTATTTTCAGAACACGTGTTCCCTTGGCTATATCATTCTTTTCTGCTTTGCTCTGGCAAGAAAAGGTACAACTTAATGTCTAGTGCCTTGGGATATCCTATGCTGTCGTAACCAGGAGGTGGGAAGCTCAAGAGTTTGCAGTCATTTAGTTCTGAAGCAGTTGTTGCAGTTGCTGCTGAAGCAGCCTGGCACAAAGTAAGACCAAGGCCAGTGAATAGATCCTCTTCCTTTCCCCTCATTTATGGGTTCAACTGCGTTTTGGACCAGTTCAGTCTGCAAAGTGCTTTTAAGCAGCCCGGGTTTGCGGAAGTTTGGTTGTGTAGGAGGGAATTTGTTGCTTTGTTTTGTTGTCGCTTTGCATTCTGTGAGATGTTTCATGTTCAAAGGGATGGGGAAAGAAGCGCTGTGTGGTGCCAGCTTCAATTTATTTAAACACCAGGATTATTTTCCCCAATATATGCTGCGTGAAAATTACTGTCTTCGTGTTTCTGAAAAGGCTTTGCCATTGCATTCATGTGCTATAGTGAAAATCATGAGAGGAAAACTTTTGTAAAAAGTATAGATTTGGTAGATGCTTGACATTATTTGTGATGGTAATGAATATGGAGCAGGTTTTATGGTAATCTATTGTTCTGTTTGGCTTTCAAATACAATGGCTTTAAAAGAATGATTTCTTTTTTGCAAACCAGAACAAAACCGGAGGCCCATCTCTGGATAACTTAGTGATGGTGGCTAATTTTTTGGGGGATGACAGTATAAACATTGCTGGGGCTTTGAGTCCTGTAGCTATGAGGCAGTTTCTGGAGTACTGTTATTGTTTATGATCCGCTCCATTTTATGGAAACAAGCTCACTGGACTGAGGCTTTGAAGCTCTAATTGGCGCATGCGTTCTTCCGGAGCTAGAGCTAATGGCAGGAAGCCCTGCAGTAAAAACCAACTGGTTCAGGAAATTAAAACCAAAGATTTGAAAATCAACAAAACAGACAGACTCAGTGGAATGACCCTAAAATTCTCATGGTTAATCGTTTGGGGGTGAACATATAATTATATGCGATCAAGTTAAATTTTAAACACTTAGCTGTTTAATGCATTTTATTTCGAAGAGCTCTAGGAGTAATTATGATCAATATTAATCATTGATGCATTGCAAAAGAGTACAGAGAGGTGGTTGAGGCACACAAACATTTCCAGAGTAAATAGCTGTGAATGAAATGTAGGTAAATGGCTGTGTAAAGGTATGGAGATGTAAATCTAAGCACACACTCAAGATCGATGGAGCCTGCCTGTCTAAAAGTATCTGTTAGTCAATGTAAACTTTGAAATCTCTCAAGAATTTTTTTACTTGTAAGGATTGTAATGAAAATACGCATTTGCATTGCCCTGACTGAAGCAAAGAAAACTCCTCCAAGATAAGATGTGATTAGCATTTCTTACCCTACCTTTTTCAAAGGAAAAAAGGACCAAGCCTTTTAGAAGAAAAGCCCAAGTAGAATGTAGCCCGCTTTTCTTTCTAATGCATGTTTGCCTCTGTGCCATGTGTACTGATGAGCTGTGTGTTTCCTTCCCATCCCCGCTCGTGCTTCCCTTTTCAGGAGAAGCAGTACATCTAGCTAGAGACTTTGGGTACGTTTGTGAGACAGAATTTCCTGCCAAAGCAGTAGCTGAATTTCTCAACCGACAACATTCCGATCCAAACGAGCAAGTCACAAGAAAAAACATGCTTCTAGCTACAAAGTAAGACATTTACCTTTTTGGTGTGTTGCTCAAGAGTGAGGGGTGGGTAACAAACCCGGGTTTGGGCCTTTTATTTGTGAGCATTTGACACATAGCCAGTGGCTGATGGTTTTGCAAATGGTGAGGGGGTGTGTTTGCCCTTCTGCTATTTCTGGGTGAAAACTATCACCCAGCTTGGTTTCCATCAAGTCAGTGTGTGCAGATTACCTTGAAAGCAAGCCGTGAAAATTGTGGGTGGATGTTTAGATAAAGAAAAAGCAGTAATTCTTAAAAAAAAAAAAGAAAAGAAAAAAAAAAAAACATTTCTGGGCCTTTTCACTTAGCTTCTCAATTTAAGTAGAAGGGCAAGGCTTCTTTTCCATTGACAGTAAAATAGAACCAGCACATTAAACTGATCCGAATTCATTAAAATTGGCAATGGTTCTTTCTAAGAGAGCCTAAGTGGCTCTCTTACTCCCTGTAAACGGGGACATTAAAGATGTATTTTCATCTCCAATCTGCACGCAGTTGAAGTGCTAGCGGACTTTGCCACTGGTGGGCTGCCCAGGCTTTCAGGTGACATGTAGACAGAAAATGATAGTTTTGATATTTTTCCTGGAAATGAAAAGGGTTGTTTAGTAGCCCTTAATTACCAATGGAGGTGTCACCAAGGGGCACGGTGCCATAGGACACAGGCAGAAGATGGGAACTGCTTTATGGCTGGAAGACATTAACGTCGGGTTTTAGAATACAGACTGTTTCAACAAGCCTCTGAGCAATTTTGCTATGAGGTGTGTTATTTCCCTAGCTATTTGTGCAATGAGGGGGTGGTTTAACCTAACTTCTACACCGTGCCCTTATATCCTCTCTTCCCACCTCCCTGGAAGGAAATTTCCAGACCCCAGTTAACGTCAGCCTTCCCCTCTGTGGGAAGGTCCCTTTGGATTTGGAGATGGAGATGTACATACATAGATGTCTCAGAATACCCTAATTTAATGCCTCAATTCCCCTCTTTGCCCTCTCTCTTACTTCCTGACACACAGGCATATTTTAGCCTTGTGAAGGAAGAGGCCCTCACCTCTCTCCAGTTCCCTCCCAGAAAAGCGTCTTCCAAGATGCAGATAAATCCCTTTGGATATCGCACCTCATCTACTCCCTTCTACCATGCTGGGGAACTTTAAACCTTGTGCCTGCTCCAAAACCCAGCTGGGCAGGGACATGCATTTGTGGGGAGGATACAGAGGGCTGCGATGCCGGAGGTGCATGTATCTGTGTGCCTATTACTTGCCCGTGTGCTGGCCAGGGCCAGGGCATGATGTGTGTGCAAGCTTGTGTGTGCATGCAAGGTGAAGGGAAGAGGCTTGCGTGTGCCAGGGAGGTGTGAGAACTGGGGGGAAGGATGTGTAGAGAGGAAAGGGAGAGGCAAGAGAGCAAGTGTGCATTGGGCCAGTAGCCCCCTTGATCCAGGGGCTTGTGTAATCTAGCAGGGAGAATGCACAGGCTTTGCTGCCGCCAGTGATGGTTCATTTCTCTCCCTCTCTCTTGCCCTCCCTCCCTCTGTCTCTGCTCCATTTGTGCTACAGACAGATCTGTAAAGAGTTCACCGACCTGCTGGCTCAGGACCGATCTCCCCTGGGGAACTCGCGGCCCAACCCCATTTTGGAGCCGGGCATCCAGAGCTGTCTGACCCACTTCAACCTCATCTCGCATGGCTTCGGGAGCCCGGCAGTGTGTGCTGCTGTCACTGCCCTGCAGAACTATCTCACCGAGGCACTCAAGGCCATGGACAAAATGTACCTCAGCAACAATCCCAACAGCCACACAGACAACAGCACCAAAAGCAGCGACAAAGAGGAGAAGCACCGAAAGTGAGGATCCCCCCCACTCCTCTCCCTTCCCCCTCATAGCCCATCGATCCATTCATTTCCCTCCTCCTTCTCCCCTGCACCCAGCACCCCAGGCTACAGCAACAGAATGAGCGTCCTTCTGCCAATCCTGTTCTCTGACTCTGCAGGACTGCTCTGCCCTCTCCCCACACCCCTTCCCAGCATCCACATTTCCATTTGCTCCCTTTTAACTTCCCCCTCCTCTCTCTGCTGCCACCACCGTTTTAACCCCAGTTTGGAGCCTAAGAGAACAGAACAGGGGGACAGAGCCAGCAAAGAAAAAAAGTTCTGTCTTGAGTTTGTGAACTTTTCTTTTTTAATAAAACAAAAGGAGGAAAAAATCACAAAAACAAAAAAGAAAAGGACTTTTTTTTTCTAAAAAATATATTAAAAATTAAAAAAAATAACAAAAAGAAATAAACAATACTTTAAAAATTCTATGAGCTTCACCGGACTGAATCACCACCTTCCCTTACATAAACTTCAGTTAAGATTGTAGCCATATTAAAAAATGAAAGACATAAAAAAAGAGGCGAAAAAAGTACAACAGCAGCAGCAAAGGAAAGGCAAAAAGGACTGATGACATTTTATCAGTATTGTGAATAAACTTGAACACAAAACACAAGCAGTTCCATGTCATATCTTCAGTTGTAGAACTTTTTCCTGTCCAAGGTAAAGCGACCAACTTGAACTTTCTATTGCAACACGATTCACGGTTATTATATAAGGGAATCAGTGTTCATGTATGTATATATTTATTTATGTGTAATTTAATGGGAATTGTAAATATGGTGAGTCTGTTTTAAGCATTTTTTATTTATCTGGTGATCTTGTTTACCTCTTGTTTAGTGGGTTTTAAATCTTCCCCTCTTAGTTCATCATGTGGTTCATGGTACTTATTTAGATATCAGAGGTTTTTTGGGGGTTTTTCTCTGGGATTCATCATTTTTAGCCCTGTTGTAGCATGTTAAAGGCGACAATGAAGCAGCTGAACAAATAAAAAACCATGATTTTTTATATATAATTAGTATGACATTTAGTTTCTCATTGAAGATAAAATAAAGTGATGTTGGACCCTGGCAAGGTTTTTAAACATGTTAGCGGTTTTACAACCCTTATGTGTTGTGGAAAATGAAAGAAGTTATTTTCATCCACTGTCCCTTTCCTGAAAGCACCATCAGAGCAATAAATGAATACTGTCTTTTAAAACAAGATTTAGTTTTTTCTTTCCTTTCCCCCCCCCCCCATTTTTCTTTTCTTTTTCAGTTTGTTTTTCTCTCTTTTTTTTTTTCTTTTTTTTTCTTTTTTCCCTTTTTCTTCCCAAAGAACTTCAAACATTTGGGACCACCTGGTATCCTGTATTTCCACTGGCCATATTGGAAGCAGTTATAGTTGTATTGTATTGAGTTGTGCCGGCAGTAGTCTCCATGCCTATCAATGTATCATAGTCCTTTGTTGCCCAGATAAATAAATATTTGATACGCTTTATGTCGATTTTTTTTATTCAGTGGCTGTCTTTACCCAGGCGTATTTTTGTTCTTGGCAGTATTTTTTATTCAGTATGGTTACAGTAATTGAGTTTAACTCTCCCTTGACAATTGCTCCTTGCAATAAGCAGCTGAACCCATTGTTTCCCTCAAGTATAATAAAAACTTACTTTCAACTTGGAGTTCAGAGCAGGGTATCATTTAGATATTCCACTGAGTCTGTATTCAGACAAATGACACAATAAAGCACAATGTATTCTTTTGGATAAAAAATTGTCTGTACTACTAACAAAATGACACACTATCTTTTCTTTAACCAAAACATAATTTTATTTAAAAAAAATAAAGTTTTATTTTATTTATGTTGACCTCTAGGTTTTTATTTATGTTCATATGTAGCATGCAGAATTACAAGCCTATATTTTGTACGTGTAGTTGTCCGAATGCAGAGCAGATGTTTTAAAAAAACATTTTGAGAAAGGTGTTTTAACCAGAATCATTACCAAGCAAATACCAAGAATTAGGTGCAATGAAAAAAATTATATACTGGTGAATCAGAGCTGGGTGCTCCCTCCCCCTCAACCAAAAAGAAAATCTTTGTAGCTGATGCCAACAAAATCATCTCACGGTTGTGAACTTTAGTGAAATCCTGCAGGAGACAGATTATTTCTGATTGATGGTTAATGTTTTAGTGGGATGCACAGATCGACATTTGGAGGTGGTTGTGTCAGTTTATAAGGGCCTGGAATTTTTAACTGGAGTTTCTTATTCTGGAAACCAGTTGTAAAATACGAAAGCTTGCTTTGAAAAAAAAAAATAAAATAAAATTGAGTGTGCATCTTGGAGATGGGCTGTAAAAACGCGAGAATGCAGACTTCAAATCTGTTTTCCTTGGCCCTGGGAGTAAGTGAAGTCAGGATCAGGCTGCATTATATTATATCATAGGAAGGGTGGCTTATGTGGTTCAGAATGTGAAGGCATTTTAAAGAGATGGTCTCCTTTAAGTGTTGATGATGTTTTGGTGGTGGTGGCTGATTTTTCTCTCTTTCTCTTTCCTTCCCTCCCTCACTCTTCCCCCCCCCCCCCCTTTTTTTTTCCTCTTTTGCTCAGGCAGGAATTGAGGCGGTTAAGAGGGAGGTGTTTACAGTAAAGCCGCAAAGAGAATTAACATTTGCTCATATATTTTGACGTTTGCTAAGGCTGGTGAAGCAAAGCATTAGATAAAGACCAAGATGTTTCATTTTGCTTTGGTAATCTACTTATGGAAGGCAGTGTAAAATCAATCTTGCCAAGCAGAAAGAGAGTTGGTGGAGTCTAAATTCTATTTTCGAGAGCCAGCCAGTTTATAAAAATGGTGAATATTTTTTTCCTGTAAATTGAAAGTGGATCTTTTGAATGCAAAGCTGCAATTGTTTTAAAAACAGTTATTTATTATTTCCAAGAGAGACTGGTTAACTGTAAAGTAGATGTAACAAAATAATGAGGTGAATGAACCCTAACTGTACATATTCTTGACATAAATGAAATGCACAGTACTGTAGCAGGTGAAGTGAAGCATTGTCTATCAGGGCTGTTTTTCTTGGCTGCATCTCAGATTGTGTGTGGGATCCTAACCTCAGGCACAATAGCATTCATAAACAGCAATACATTGCTGCTCTTTCTACAGCAACACATAAATACTCATTTTTAAACGAAAACAATCTTATTAAATACCATTCATTCATATCTGGATTTACAGATGCTTGTTACTTTTTGAAACCTGTACCCAATATAATCGTTTTATACTGGGCACTGTATAAAGCAGTCTTATGCTTGAACATTATAAGGTCATAATAAATAATGTTTTAGAGATATAATTAGCTACTTTATGCTAGGAGAGTGCATTTTGGGTACCCTGCTGCTGCATTAGCAAGCTACCAGAAAACAGAAATGAAATGACCTTGCATGGATTTCTTTATTACTGTTATTTCTAAGGAAGGATTTTACAGGCGATAATAGAAATCAGACTAGCTTCAGTTCAGCCTCTTCTGCTGTGACCAATATGCAGTTACTAAAACGTGCTAATTACTTTAGCGTTCTTTGGATGTGTTTTTAACGCCGTGATCAAGGCACAGTGATGAAATTCTAGGTCATGCTTTTATACACCAAACAAAAATCTGCTGTTATTTTCCAACACCACCACCCCCCACTCCCCCCCCGAAGATTGGCTGCAAGGAGGGTGAGTGGTGGCTGAATGCTAGACCGTCACTGCCACACTAAGCTAATTCCTACATGTGAACCAAAATACAGCTCAGTGCTCTTTCACTGTGAACAAGGACAGCCCTCCCCTTTGTACCGTAATTTACCCCACCCTCCAAAAATCAAATATTAATATAATTTGAGATTTAACTGGTGGAACAGTCATCAGGACAGCAATGCCCCGCAGCTGAAATAATATTTAAAATAGAAGGGATTTGACATTTGAGAAGTCAGTGGCTTGAAATACCCAGTTGTACTTAGCTAATTCAGTCCTTAACCTCTGGTTTCAAATAAATCAATTACAGTCGATTCCACTTCAGTTCAGAAGTGCACAAGGTTTTTAGTTAATTGAATACATTTTATTCACTTGCTAGGAGTATTCATTTATCCAAACCCTTACATTTAAAGGCGATTTCTTTATTGTCCATGATAAATTCAACTACGTAATCAGATCAGCTCCTTGTTTGTTTACCCATCTTCTGCCTCGCATTTAAATTCCAGAATGCGCACTTCCCTTTCCCTCCTTGGTATGTGCCTGTCTCAGCCCAGACCAGATTCCCAGAGCGTGAGCTCTGGCGTTTGCAAACTGGAGCTAAAATAACAAGCGCCCTTCCAATGGGAAGCAATGCGAAGCCCATCCCAGCTCGTGAGGGCAGAGTGATTTAAACCAGCTCAATAATGCAACGCGCAGGGTCATGAGTGTAAAAAATAAATTACGCCTCTGATTCTGTCCCATGTACCTTTCCTGAATGTTTCTGCTCCTTGCCCCGCATGTGGTGGGAGCTGTTAGCTCTTAAAATGGATTTGGAGCCGGTTTGGTGTTGGCAAGAGAGGATTTTTGTTGTGTACTGGGCAGCGAAGTTGTGTCACTTACCCACTTTGAATAGATATTGATATATGCTGTACTTCGAGTGTGTTGTTTGCTGAGTCCTGCTGGCGATGGTTTGCTGTTTTGGAAAGGAAAGGGGTTAATTAGTGTCATTATCAATCACTAATGCTTGTCTAACGTGTCCAAAGAATAATCAAGTTAGGGGACTGCATGAAGCTAACATCTGCTTCATTCCAGCTAAAGATTTTTCCTTATATCGTTCAATTATTGGAACTCCACACTGGTTTCAGGCTTTGTCAGGGCCATAAAGCAGGGTCAGATCGTTAGAAATCTAGAATGGAGGGGAAAGTGCAATATAAATAACAAATGGCTTCATTATTTGAGTTACAGGTGCAAGAATGGCCGTGAAAATGAGCAGGGATTACTAGAACATGTTCCTTCTTTTTATCTCCAGTATGGAGGAAAACAAAATTCATCCAAGCCCAGTTCTTAAGTAATTTATTCTGCATAGGTTGCAGCCTCTGTCTTTGCAATATTTAGTTAAGTAACCCTAACCTGTCAAAATAAGTAGTTTAAAGTAAGCAATTGGAAGCAGAGAAAAAGGAAAAGTCTTTCATGACTCATTACTAGTGCAGCTTTACCAGCTTCAGAATAGCAAAATATCCTTGTTTCTCTTCTTCCAGCTGAAGTTGCAAGGCTTTCTTGGGTGGCTGAAATAGCTGATATTTCAGGCAGGGTAAACAGAAATATAGCTTACAGTGGTGATGAAGGTTTGTGTCCTTGAACTGTTACTGGTGCCTGGTGATGTAGATACAACGGTGACAGATCTGTGGTCTTTTATTCCCTCTTACAACCACTGTAGTCATGTCTCTCTAATGTTGAGTTCAGCTTTGGTAGCCCAAAGGGCCAAAATTTCTTATCTAACCAACAGAGTGGTTAGAGCACCGTCACTGAGTGAATGCAGTGTGGAAATCAGACCAAGGCTAACGAGGGCTTTCTAGTAGGGTAGGAGGCAGCTGTTGATTCCCGGCGGCACTTGTCTTCTAGGCCCTGATTTTGCAAGGCAAGTGC